CTGTAAACCGAGCAGTCGTCTTCCTTCTAGAGCCTGCACTCCAGCTTTGCCACAGCAGCGGCTTTCCAGTCCCCTGAGTCGCACTGATTTGCTTAATAATGCAGTCAAAGAGGTGAAAAAAATCTTTATCTTCTCTTCCTTTGCCCCAGAAGTCTTTTAGGTTTGGATTACGTTTGTGCAAAACACTATCAACTGGTGACTGACATGTCTGCTTCAACCATAGCCTTTTAAATGACCTTAATTACCATGTTGTTAAGAAATGAGTACTTGTTTTAGAAAAAAAAAAATTGTACTTTTAAAATTCAGTTAGTTAACACTGCAAAAAACTGCATATTATATTTTTATTTTCAACATGTAGTTTTGTATATTAAATTTATTGAAATTAAAAACTAAACACTGTATTGTCTTCATCCGCTCAGGAAGACAGAGGCAGCGCTGCCTTACTTGTCCGGACTCCCTTCCGCCTACAGCCTCGCCCCACCCAAACAGCTGGCGCAGGAGCGCGCCGACCCCCGGCGCAGGCCCGGCCTCTCCTTTGAGACCAGTCCATTTCGGTTACCTCACAGAGATTTAAAAACACAAATGCTTTTGGTACCATTTTTTGTATGCTGCTGATCAAAAGCATTCCTGAAAATAGTCATAATCCAGTTTTCCACACGATAAAGAGTGGCTATTTTCCCCGTCACCTGAAGAACTGTAAAAACCTATTTTTGTAAAAATACAAGGAACATTTGGGAAGCAGCAGAGTCTAGCGTACTTTTTTCTCGTTTTTTAAATTAAAAAAAAAAACAAAAACAAAAAAGAGAAAAAGGATGAAGGCACAGTACCCAGGCTGCACTGAAGCAGCAGCGCAGCAAGCACGGCAACGACTGGCAGCCAGAAGGAAAAGGTAGAGCTGAGAAGCCTCACGCTCTGCTCGCCCGCAAGGCAACATCCCGTCGAACTTCACGCTGCAGCGGTGGGCGCAGAGGCGGGACGTGCCGCCTCCAGACTGCTGCCTGAGTTCTCTCTCCTCTAGGAAACAACCCCCCCCCACACGCAGGCCTTGCTAAGAGAGAGCAGAAAAAGCAGTAGCAGACTGTTCACTGCACAACGCTGGCTGCTCGGACGCGTAAACAAATGAATTCTGATGAAGGTGGTGCCTGTGACCTCACTGAGGAGTTTCTGCACGGCCTCAGGGAATTTTTAAGGGGCTCAACTTTCCACGCATCACGATGCATAGTTAATGTAACATTCGTCCTGGTGCTACGTTAGTAGTCCCACATTAAGGCAATTCTGTCTGTTTTGTGCAGACCAGTAACAATCCCCTGCAGCAGCAAATTTCCAGAGCCTTACATTTGCCTTGAAGTTATTAATAAGCACTATGGCTGTTATCAAAATAGACATTAGGGTCAGTAGTGCATTCATTTAACATCTTTGGTGCTTGCAGCTAGCAGCATCTTTCTACGTACGTTCATCCCGCATCTTTTAGCATTCCCATGGATCTGGGGAAAAAAGCAAACAAGTAAAACCCAACATAATTACTTGTTGCAGTACTTAACAGATGTTCACAATTCAAGGTCACATACATGTAAAATGCTGACATGAATTTTCTGGATGGTCAGCTAGAAAAATCAGTGGAGCAAAATTACTGAGCTCTAGTGACTGAAACTGCTTAGGTGTCCGGTCACGGCACGAGGCCAAGCTGTCACTGCAGACGCTGCCATCAACGCGTCCCTCAGCCTGGCTGTGGAGCTCAGGGGCAGCCGGCCGACCTCCCTGGCTGTCTGGAGGAAGTCACGAGGCGAACAGTCCCCTTGGTGCTGTGGATTTGGACTCATGGACTGAACCAAGACCTCTCAGTCTGTAAAACCTAACACGATGTGGAGGCGAAGGTGTGGCGACAGGTAATGTCACGGTGAAGCTTAACTGCCATTTAGAACAGCAAAGCCAAACCATGTGCTAAGGAAGAGGGAGCACTGAGGCTTCAGGAGCTCAAGCGCAGGAAGGAGGACTGCTTATTAGGAGCTGTATTTATACATCAGCTGTTTGCCCTGAGACAAGGTTCCCTGCTCGTACAGCGAGGCCATGCTCCACGAGGAGGGCTCCACGTGCTATCACCATACCATAAACGCTGGCTCCGAGGGATGAGCACGGTCGTGCCCCTGCCAACGACGCCCTGAAACTGCAGCAGTGCGCACGTGCACCGCAGGGAGAACCGACCACACCAAGCGAGTCGCCTCCTCTCCGTCGCTCCGTAAATGTAAGCCGTGGGTGCAGTGAGCACCTAAGCTTCAGGATATCGAACTGATGGTGTCCGACTCGTTGAATTTCAAACATCAGACACGTGCTTTTAGAAAGACAGGTTGTCTAAAAAATACTGTCTACAAAAATGCACTAAGGTATTTGGGTTGCTCTGCAGACAAAGCAATACGCACAGTAGCCCATGAAAAAGCAATTCTGCCGTGTGTCTCTAATTTGTGTTCTAAGTCTGGGAGAAATAAGAGTACGTCAACATGTAATTAAAAGTGATTATAAAACATACATAAAAGGAGGCTGAATTAGAGATTCCACAGGCAGCTGGACTTCTGGTAAATACTTTTTATCTTTCAATAACAACATTAGAAAATCACCTTTAAAAAAAAAACGTAGACTTTTTGGTATTTATTTCCTTTTTTTTTTTTTTTTTTTTAAGAAGGGAGAATTTTTGATACCTAGAAAGTGTAGAAAGGAATACCAGCTCCAAAAGCAAGCATTTTCCATAGAGGCTGGCAAGAAGAGGAAGCCTACCTCCGTTTCATCCTGTTACTATAGAGCCACTTGGGCAGCACACAGCTCCTCTTCTGTACTTGACAGGAGCGCAGTGCGCACCAGGCACATTTCTTCAGGTAGCCTGTATTCAGCTGTACAGTTTCTCCCTGCCTAGAAGTCACAAGTATCCAGAAGAAAGCCTACTTCCAATAGTTTCCCTTTTGGATGAAGCCAAGCAGAATTTTGTGGGACAAACGAATGCTCTTCTCTAGGTTCTGGTAGGGACAGAAGGGTCCTTCCTAATGCTGAAAGGTTTTTTTGGTAACAACAAGGATGGACAGAAAGCACCCTCCCTCCTAGAAAGGACTTGTCAATCTTATTTTCTAAATATTATTCTAAATAAAGGGTGATGCTACAAGCTCTCACTGTATTTCGAGTGATTGTGAAGTAGCATCTTTGACACACAAACTAATCAGAGATTCTGTAACCTCATTTCTGAAATCATGTCAGCTTGCCACCATGAATATGAAGATGAATGGTACCAAAGCCAGAGCTACGTAATTAGGTCAATGTCAGCAAAAGACATTATTCAAGCAGGGTTTGTCTGTAGCCCTGTCAAGTTCTGGCCAGACCGTCCTCAGGCGCAGCATTCATACCTCGGATAGAACTAATGTTCAAGGACCAGCCAATTTTCTGTAATTGTCTGAAGATCTTGACCGCTGAGGGGCTCCCTGAGCCTCACTTTTACCTCTAGTTTCCCTCCAGTGGGCTTTCTGCCATCAAAAATCTGAAAGAACCGCAAAAAGAAGAGCAGTTAGCATGCATAAGAATGATGATGTCCAGCTACAGTGCCGCAGGCAACCACTGCCTGCACTGCACCGTGACTCTAAGGTGGGACGCATCACCTGCAGGCAACTGCAGTGTGGCAGGCGTCGCAGCCACGCGCTTCCCCGGATTCGTAACTCTGCAGAGCTGGTCCCCCCCGGCAATGGCTGCACCAGCCTGCTCTCCCTGCCACACACCAAGGCCCCGAAGTGCAAATGGACTCCACGGGCAGCTCAGGGGACGCTGAGGGCAGCGGTGTCCAAAGTGTGGCCGTGACACAGCCCGAGGGGCTATTTTTTTTTTTAAGGTTCTACTTAGTGATCTCCTACTGGATCTTCTGGCAGCTCTCTATCCACTCAGCAGTCTTCACTTAACTCTCCGATCTGCCAGCTACCAACGCAAATCATTTTGGGAATCACCTGAATTTCTGGGCCTGACAGAAAATCTGCAGAAGAGAGTCCCCAAGAAGTTACCAGTACCAGAAGGGTCACAGCTAAGAGAAGCTTCAAGAGATGATAACACAACAGCCTGTTGTTTATCGATCTCATCCAACACAAAACTGTCACCTGCATACAGACACATTTACGCAGTATTTTCCCTTTGTGTTCACATACCACTTACGAGGAGAACGCACCTCACCCACCAAACGTACCTCAATGATCTCTCTAACTTCACATTCCGATTCCAGCTTTTCCAGTTTCAAGTGTGCTGTCCCCACCTGCTTGTCACTCCTGAAAAAGGACCTGTTCCAAAGAAATCTTCCTTAATTGAATGGCTCAGGTTTTTCAGAACATCGAAGAGAAAGCAAGCTAAGAGGTCAGCGCTATTTGCCCCATCACCGCGGCCGGAGGGCGAGTCAGGACATGCTACTAGAACCTTACAAACCAGGCTGCAAGGTGAACTAGATGAGAAGGACAAGATACAGAAGTACTCATTTTTTAATTATTCTCTTACAACCAAATTAAAGATGAGGGGAATAGTGAAGAAAAACGATCAGCTAAAGCAGCGCTTGGAACAGCAGCAGCTTTCGCCCCTGCTCAGGGGTGCAGGGAGGAACGGCCCAGCAGCCAGGACGGGCGGCAATCTTCTGCAACAGGCGGTTTAATAGCACGGGCTGAAAAACTTCCCAAGGAAGCTGCACCTCTCATCAAAACAAACATTGCACAGGCACATGCTGGTTTTGGAAAACCACTTATTAGGAAAAAGTCACCGGAATCATTCTGCTTCATTCTGATAAATCAAAACACTCAGTTTCAACAAGCAAGAAGATTTCATTTCAGGCATTGTTGTGATTCACCTTCACATTGGTAGTTTTTAACAGTCCAGAACTGTCATCTTAGAATTTCTAGGCTGCTGAAGTTAAACACAAAGCATTTTTATCCTGCAAGGAAAATAATTAACTTCTCTCTGCTACAGTCACTTCTGTTTAAGGGTTTTATCAGCAAGAGATCCATCTTTGCCTTACCAGAGACAGGTGGTACAATGCTCACCCAAACTCCTCCAAAAGGCAACAGCTAAGGCTACTAAGACACACTACATTCCACAGAAGCATTCAGCTCAAAGCACTTGATTTCTTTGCCTGCATCCAAACATTTGCCTGAATCAGTCTCCAAAAGGTTTGATAAGAGAAGTTTCCTTTTTTATGCCATTCCATTTAGGAAAAAAGCAAGCAAGAAAAAAAAAAAAAAAGCAACCCCAAAACATTCACCTTTCTTCCTGTTATCACTAAGAGATATGAAGAGACTATAGAGCGAGACCCAACGTGTGCACTGAAAACTCTGGAGATGACAATACAGAGCCTCACGATCCCATCATCTGTGGCCACAGTAACAGTGCATTAACACACAGACCTGACGCTGCCATCAGTGCCTACAGCTTCCAAGGGAACATGTGTGAACCCGACTGTCCAAAACCTCTGACTGGAAAAGAAGCAAGGTTGTTTCCTCACACCCACCGCCCAATGACCGCTTCATTCCTGTATTCTCCACATAGCTCCTAACAGCCGCAGTGTAAGAAACCTGTCATCCAGACTTTAACCTCGCTTCCTGGCTTGCGTGTTCAGAAACAGCGTCAGGAACGCTACGGCTCATACAGCAGCAGCTGAATCTCTACAGATCAGGAGGACAACGGCGTGGGACCGTCAGCCCAGGCTATGGCCAGCTCACGGGAGGGAGCTTGGACACTTCTAGGTGGCATAAAGAGTGCAAGACCTCCGAGTGCACTGGAACGTGCAGCCAGCCACTGTTAGAACGCACATCTCTTCCAAAACCCTGCTGGACTTCAAAGCCTCCAGCTGAGGTGTTCCGATTGCTGCTTACTTGTCAGTTTGTCCAACTCAACACACGTTGCTGTGGTAAAGAAAGACAAAGCCACAAGTACCTCAAAGGCTGATAGTGCAGCCTCCAAACACAAGGCCCATGATTTTGTTGACAGAAAGCTTTCCAAAGATCAGACTGTATTCTCCATCGTTGAGACTACAGTAGGCTCACAGAATCTTTTAGGGAAGTTCAGAATCTACTAGCTTGCATGCTAGAATACTTCCTTTACTTCACAAGCAAAATGAAGCAGGATTAAATAACTGTACTGCAGGATGTTGGACCCTTTGTTCATAAACTTAAAAAGAGAATCAGCAATTTTTCTGGCTGAATTTTATAAAAGCATTTTTCCATTTTATAATTCAAGAAACAATAAATTCTGGTTCATCCCTGATCAGTTCTAGGGGGTTTGCCGTGAAGAATGTGAAGTTGCTGTAGGCCACTGCTTCAGAAACAGCTCTGGGGAAATCTCCTTTTATCTTCAGAAGCTTTTAGGAGACGTTTCAGGAAAGACTTTTCCTCTGGAAAAATACACTGCTGTGTTTTTACTTGGAAGTGTTTTTTAAAGTGAAGTTTAATATGTATGACCCAAAACAAGTCTCCTTTGCTCACCAAGAGAAAATAATTCTTGGGGGATAGTCAAAGAGCTATCAGAGACCCCAAAACGACTATATCTACAAGCATTCCTGGAAGTATTATTCATTTATAGTCTTGAAGACAGTCAAGGAGCAGACACTCTTTAGAAAAGAGCCTGGATCACTTAATCCTCTCGTTTCTCCTGAGGAGATGGCCAGGGGAAGGCGATCAGTGGGCATTTCTTCTTCTTCTCCTTCCCTGTTGCTGTCTGCCCAGGGCAACTGCCACCCCTCCACTGCCCTCCCGAAACAAGCACATATGTAACTTTGTCAGAGTCCTGTGCTAAGAACAAAAATCTGACAACACGCACAGACTGTTTTGCTCATCTTCGAGAAGGCTTCAAGGGACAATCTGGAGCTGGCAAACACCTCATGAATCACTGGAGAGTGTTTCCCAGCAGGTGAACTTAAGCCTGAGCTCAGACCTTACAAACAAGCGCAGTTCCAGCTGGTAAGAGAAGAGGATCTGCCCCATACGCGCAATGGCATGCAAAAGATACAGAAAAACGTTTTAAACAAATGTAAATGCCTAACAGATCTATGCAAAAAAAGGCAGGATCTCTAATGATGACATCTTGAACAACGCAGCAGTGGAGCAGTCAGGATTGACAGAGGAGTAAGAAAATCAGCTTTTGCTTCAACAGAGATGCAAACAGAATATCTGGAGTAAAAACCATGGGACTTCAGCTGACAAATTAAAACATCTACAACTCGAAAACCGTCTTGGAGAACCTATGGATCATTTCTGCGTGTCCCAGTAACAGAAACAAAGAGTAGCACAAAGAGCCACTGAGACAAAACCAGGTTATCTAACATCCCACCCAAGTCACGGATCACAACCAGCTCGGGGATTAGTGAATATAGGCCACTCCGCTTTTGAATACATCAGTACTGAGCCTAGACATAGGACGACTTCCCCAAACGTTACCAATTGTTAACACCCATCTCACCATCTTGATCTCAGAGATGAGGGGAGTCTGTCTCAAGACGGTCTAACAGTTTGCAGCAGCGTTCGGTAAATATTGTAAGATCCTCAGAACGAAGATAAGTACAAAACCATAACATTGTTCTGCCATCATCTGTCATCTGTTTTACTGCTGTGAATGTTTTGCTGCCACTTGTACTTCATTATTCTGCAAAGTCATCCCATACAACATTTAAATCTCCTCGTCCTGATGACTAAAACCAGGCTGGATAAGAATCAAAACAATCTGAAGCTGAATTGTTACCTTCTCAGTCTCATTAATTCCTCTTAACGCACTAATCCTCACCTGATCTGCCACTTATGAACCAACTTCACTGAACTTCTGCCTTTTTTTCACCCCCGCAGGGGAAGATACAGAGCTCAGGCACATTTCCAAAGGAGTTCTCAGAGAGGAGAACGAGACAACTCTTTATTGCTAGCTTAAAGGTTGTGCTGCATGAATTTCAGCTCCAGCACTCTTTACAACTGTTACCAGAGAAGCAATGAGGGGGGAGCAAACTGGGGACTTACCCTTTATGAAACACTTCAAATTTAATTCCTTTGGATCGAATTGCTCGTCGGAAACCTCTGTGATTTCGGTTGATGTTCAGCTTAAACAACTGGTTATATTCTACAGTTAAGATACAGAAAAGTGAAAGCAAGCTGTGAAAGTCAAACTATGTGGAGCACTCTATCACGTGCATGTAACTCAGACCTCTGTTTATCTCAGTTGGCCCATTTGTGAAAGACTTCACACCGGTATGAACCTCCTTCTCGGGCAGTTATTTCAGTCATTAGCAAGTTAGCGTCCCTCTGCAACAGCTCATCTCTGCCAACCCCACTGTACCGGGACAGAAACCAAACTGCAGAAACACCCAGTCATCACGAGGAGGTGACAGCAAGTTACTGGAGAGCCAGATCTGTAGAATCTAGTGTCTGTGGCTAAGAAAAAGCTACAAAACAACAAGGAAAAAGCATAGGAAAGTTGGAATGACTGGGAAGGGGTGTTTTGATAATATAATTAATACTGTTTTAGTACCAATTTCATTAAAGTGCATGACAAGAACTATGCCACAGGACACCTGTTTATCAGAAAGGCTCACAACATTGTACAACTCATGTTCAAAGACTCAGGCGCTGCGCTAGCCAGCAACGCTCACCCCTGCTCGTCAGCCTGGGAACCCAAAGCACTGCAGCTAAGCGGCTGCTCAGCCAGCGCCGCTCAGCTCATTGGAAGACCTGGAACACAGCTCTCGGTATCAGAGCTTCAGGACTTCTACTCTCAACAGGAAGTACACACACACTCAAATGATCTCTCTCTATATATATGCATTGCTTTGAAGATAAATTCACAACTAGTAATCTGTATACTGAATTCAAAGTTGTTTTGATACTAGATGGCTGCTTACTGCAAGAATTGAAAAAAATAACAGCGATAAACTAAACTCAGAGTGCAAGATGATTAATTCTAAAATGCGTGATGAGTCTAATACAGGTATTCAATGGCTAGGTACAAAGGGGTATTTTTCAAAAGGTACAAAGAGTATTTTAGGTGGTTTCAAGGCACATCTTAAAAAAATCAAATCTATTTCTACAATGAAATAGATGTTCGTCAGGTTTAGAGATCTTAGCTGATTTCAAGACAGAATTTGGAATTGGCAATCTCACAGGACAAAATCTGACTGAAAAAGATGTGATCCGTGGAGATATAAAAATTAATAATTTAACTTATTTAATAAAGAAAACTTATTCATCTGGGTGTTCTCCCAGCAGCGCTGACAGCAACAGCTGGAGCATGACTGGTAGCTCGATGATTTGTCTCCGTCGTAACACAGAAACTACCACCAGTATAGGGATGATGGTGAGGAAATTGCCAAGGCAGCTGGACTTCACCCTCCGAGAAGCCATTTCATAAGAAAGAAGAAAAAAGGTGGGGGGAGGCCCTCTGGCCCGATGCACAGTACGAGACCAGCCTGTACCCTCTGGTGATTCCTAAGGTGCAATGCTTTTCCCTCTGCCCCAGAAAAAGTACTAACCTGGAGAATTGTTATTGTTAATTACAGGTGTTTTACTCTTTTGAGGTTGCTCCTGTTAAGAGAGACACACATTATGTAAAACCATCAGATACCATTTCAAAATACAGAGTCATAGCCGTTTTTACTACCAGCTCTTTTTTATACCTATACGAGAAACATGAGGTTTAGGAGGTTATCTGAATGATAAGAAAAGTCATGGCACATTCAAGACTAAAATATTTGGATTTCCTTGTGGTAACAAGTATAATACTAGATAAAGAATAAGCCAAAACATTACATTAAATGTAAGAGCCACAGATAAGCTACACGGTCACACTCAATTCAATCCAATCATCATAAAGTTACTGACTGAAACTACACGACAAACTGCGCACGTTCCACGACGCTGTAATTCTGTTCCTTCTGCATTAGCTGGAATAATAAGCTGCACATGGAATTCATCACATTCAGGGAATTGCCCTACTATTATTTTGCCTGACAATCAATCCGCCACCAAAATGAATTAACTTTTAACCTAAAGCGGAGTACAAACTAAATCTCTGGGGACTGAACAAGGACAATGTGACCTAATTATGCAGCTACTTTGCAAAACTGATTTCAGCTATGAAGGAGAAAGGTGGTGTATTTGACTGTTGGCTAAGCAGTAGAGATCTGGCTTGTTTTCGAAAACAAAGAAAAATAGATTAAAAGCAACTATGCTGGTTCTAACTTATTCCCCAGAAAACTATCCATAAAGACCAATTCTGTTTTCACCTACCTGAATGAGGGTATTGGGGCCTCCATTAAGGCCTCAAACTTAAGCACAAACCTGATCCAACCACCACCGATTTCCCACAGGTGAATTAATTTATTCTAGTGGAACCGCTGCAAAATTTATTAGGAGGTAAAATTCTCGGCTCTGCGCTCTCACAGGGCTCAGTATTAGTCCTGTAAGAGCAAAGACTGGTTTTGCCCTACAGAGAAAGCAGCAGAAGCCCCAGCACTCTGACTGACAGCGAGACCTGACAGCCCCCCATAGAAGCCCTTCTAGCTCAATGGTTTCAGTATTTTTCAAACCAGAGACTGCTTTTAAATGTGAGGGGAACACGTTGACACTGGGGACTTTCAAGCAAAGAAGCAATATATGTATGTATATAGATTCTTAATATACATACACATATATATGCACATATATGTATGTATGAGGGGACTGGAGCATCTCCCCTACGAGGAGAGGTTGAGGGAACTGGGCTTGTTCAGCCTGAAGAAGAGAAGGCTGCGAGGGGACCTTATAAATGCCTACAAATATCTGAAGGGTGGGTGTCAGGAGGATGGGGACAAGCTCTTTTCAGTGGTGCCCAGTGACAGGACAAGGGGCAATGGGCACAAACTGAAGCACAGGAAGTTCCGTCTGAACATGAGGAAGAACTTCTTCCCTCTGAGGGTGACGGAGCACTGGAACAGGCTGCCCAGGGAGGTTGTGGAGTCTCCTTCTCTGGAGATATTCAAGACCCACCTGGACAAGGTCCTCTGCAGCCTGCTGTAGGTAACCCTGCTTCGGCGGGGGGGTTGGACTAGATGACCCACAGAGGTCCCTTCCAACCCCTACTATTCTGTGATTCTGTGATTCTGTGATATATACATGCACATACACGTAAGTATTAATTAGTAAGGTCAAGAAACTTGTATGTTCTAAGTCCTTTGTCCAGATATGCACATATGTATTTGCTACTTAAATCACCAGGAGTCATGTGCATTTATTTGAGGACAATCTTTTGGGCCCCTCACTACAAGAAGGGCATTGAGGTGCTGGAGCATGTCCAGAGACGGGCAGCGAGGAAGTCTGAGCACAGATCTGGGGGCCTGGAGCACTTGTCTTAGGTCTGCTACCACCATACTTTGAATAAGTTGCAAAATCCTTTTATTTTTGTTTCTGCCTCCATAAATTTCCATGGTTTTTTTTTTCCCTAGACCTTGTGTAGCTCTTTTGACTTCTGATTGCCTATTAAGAAATAAAAATGACTTTCATCTCTGGTCTGTGAGAAGTACAGCAGAGGTCTTTTCAACAAAGGTGAACACACTTTGACAGAGAGGTCTTAATGATGCAGCAATTTTCATGGTTAAGAACTATTTCATAATTATATAGCATTGGTCTGATATTGTCAGAGAGATTTTGGGTTGCACAGTATCTTGATAGGCCTCCTAAATAAACTAAGTGTATCCAGACCTTGAGTCCTTTTGGGGTTCTGCTGATATTTGTAAGGAAAAACTCTAACACTGCATGTCAAAAACTTCCGAAATTTTGCTCCAGGAGATCAGGAGCACAGCAATAAAATCCTTGTCTGCCAGGTCCTCATTCTATTGAAGTAGCTAGTGATAGGACGAGAGGAAATGGCTTCAAGTTACATCAGGGAAGATTTAGATTGGATATTAGGAAAAACTTCTTTACTGAAAGAGTGGTCAGACATTGGAACAGGCTGCCCAGGGCAGTGGTGGAGTCACCATCCCTGGAGGGGTTTAAAAAACGTATAGATGGGGCACTTCAGGACATGGTTTAGTAGGCATGGTGGTGTTGGGTGGATGGTTGGACTTGATGATCTTAGAGGTCTTTTCCAACCTATGCTTCTATGACAAAGATTAACCTTTTCAATCCGTTTCTGTAACTGTAAGAGATGTCCAAAAGCAAAGCCTTTAAAAGCTTGTTTTCTTAAAGGAATGGGACTCAAGAGGCAGATCACACTGAAGGTGGCCCCTCTCCCCCAGTGATGAGTTTGTGTGCCCTTGTGTCTGGCTGAAATTACCAGTGTGTTTGCACCTCTCAAAGAAATAAACTACAATTTTACAAACACCGGAAACAGTCTGATGTGTGTCTTCAGGGGGGAAAGGCGGGCATGGCTTAGCAGTGTGAACGCTGTTGAGCAGTAAGCTGGTGGTCAGCCAGCCAGAGATCACACAAGCCTCAAGCACACACCACACCACTCAGTGTAAGGCGTGGAGAACCACAAGAGAAAGGCGCAGCAAAGCTCTGATCTGCAGGAAACAGATTCAGCAGTTCTGTGTCTCTGAAAAAGTTTCTGTTTTAAAAAATAAATTCAGTCAGCATGCCTAGAAGTGCTCTCCCTCGCTCGAAGAAACCCTACATTTCCTCCTTGAAGCCCTCACAAGCTAATACAGTGGCATGAGCCAGAGACTGAGGAACAGAAGAGCCAGGACACACACTCACCGCACTCGGGTACTGAAATTCAAACTTCACAAACGCATCCAAATCTCTCGGTGACACACCTGAATGAGACAACAACCAGGCAATCCAAACAGCCAGTACAGATATTTTCATTGCATCTGTAACGTCGAGCAGGATTTTCAAGAGCGACTCATGACCTGTCACTTGACAACTGAAAAACCCATCCATCAAACCAATATCCATAGGAAGCTGGCATCCAAAGGAAAACATCTCCTGTTTTTAATGCTGCTGTTAGTCCTGAGACAACCTAGCGCAGATGGTTTACAAGCTCCCCAAAACAAGGGGCTAAAAGCAGCAATGCTGGCAGGAGCACTGTGTACTGAAGGGTCAACACACATTAAGGTGGTGCAGAGTTACGGCAGGCACTCATAACAAAACAGGAGATAAACACGAAACTTAAAACTATGACCCAGTTACGAGCAAACCCAGGACAATTTAAAAGTTCTTCCCTTTGTCAAGACGGAACCCAGATTCTCTTTATTCTTACGGGGTTTTTTTTTGGTTGTTTTTTTTTTTTTAAATACCTTAAATGTTCAAAGGTTTTGGGGGGCTTGAGTCTGAAAGCTAGTTATTTTGTTTTAATGAGCGCTGGCTACAAAAGCCACAACTCCTGAAGTGGTCTTCAAGGTCGAAAAATCTCCTTGCCCACTACTTTCCTTACTTACTCACAGGAAAAAGCCCACATGCCCTTTCAAGTACATACCTGGCGGAGCTGGTAGGTTTATCCCCCTGACAATAAGAAGGTGCATTTCTGTGCTGTTGAGCTCAGAAAATATCCTGTGAAAAAATAAAGACAAAAAAGTGTGTTCATCCCAGCAGCCCACCACCACCTCATCCACTGCCAGACCAGGATGCCACTGGTATTTGTCAGACATCTTTCAACAGTGCACTCCTACATAGATCATCTTCATAAATTGCAGAAGAGCAAGGAAAGAGCACAACCGAGGGAAAAACATCTCTGAGCTACAGTGAAAAATGCCAAGAACAAAGCCTGAAGGCAACAGGATTCAGGGAGAAATACAGAGGAAAGAAGAGTGGCTGAAGCAGCAGAATTATAAGAGACAAAGCTGGAGATATTTTGAAAACAAAAGAACCCAAAACAGAAGCTGGAGAAGTTCTTCTTTGTATTTAAGTTGTTGAGTGGCCTTTCAGAAATGCTGGGCCTAACCCTAGCTGCCACCTGAGCTTGCTGAAGCCAGCAATGTCCTGAACAAGAGCTAGAAACCAGAAAACTCTCATTCCAGCCTGCCTGAGAAATCCCTTTGTTTTTCCACACCTTATCATTTTAAAGGTTCTTTCCTCAAAGTGATGGCTTGGAGGATCCATTCCTTGCGCTCGTGCAAGCTGTAGGATGTCCATATCCTTTTTGCAACCTTGTGCCAGTTTCTCAAACCTACAGAAAAGGCAAACGAACAACAGAACAGCTACACACACAGTGGAACGTCCAACAGAGCATTCTGCCAGATACAGGGCACAGAGCATGCCTCAGACCAGAGATCTCAGAGCAACGCGGAGATGCAGTTACTGACCCTTTCACAGAACAAGCAGCTTACCAACCCTAACACCCATCATCTTGAGGGGGGTCAGGCAGAATCAAGCCTGACCACGTTGTGGGATGACTAACAGCAGGCAGAGGGTCTTACCGAGTCGTTTCTGCTACATTTCCCAGATGCATGAATTGCTTGGAATACTGCATACATCTCTGTCAACAGAAACAAATACAGATGCACTTAGTGATCCTTACAGATCACTACAGATTCCTGACTGGCAGAGAGTTTTGAAGCTGATGACCATTAAGAAAACTCAAAGACTTTCCCCAAGTCATCCAAAAATATCCACTCCTCCAATTCTTCAAGCCCAAAGTTGAGCACAGGATTTGTTTGAGCTGTTCTGCTCTCCTAGTTTTTAATCACTTGACATGAGGTTCACCCAAGGGCTCGTCTTAATCATTCGGGTACTATTTTCGAACTTGAGTGTTCATAGTTAATAGTGATAATTTGATAGTCCCAAGGCTCCAAGAACATCCTCTGACTTCAACTCGTAAAGAACCCAACTCTGAAGAGTTTCCACTTTAGGACACACAAAATCAAAAGTATAAAAGCAAAACCAAAGACCCCCACAGAAACAACGATGGGATTATAATAATAAAACCCAGAGAAATGTAAAATAAACCCAAATCATTTCCAAAGAAGATAAAACGGTCACCTCATGTTGGTCCTTCAGCAATTTTAAGAGCTGTGCATATACTTCATCTGCTTTCTGAGACAGCCTGACATCTTCATGGTGTATGAAGATAAAATCACCCTCATCATCTGTAGGGGGTGATGGCAGCTGCAACACAAGCACACCACATTTCAGAGCCCTTACAGGAAAAAATGAAGTAGACAAAAAGCAGTCAGAATGTATGGAAAGGTCGGCAAAAGCAGATGGGTTGTTTTTCTTTTCTTCTCAAGGCAATTCCAACCTAACCACTACTTATACCACTGCCTGACAACTGCTTAAGCCTTAAAACCCTGCAAACTCTCTTGCAGGCCTAGTTCCCTGATTATTCAGGTCAGGAGAGCTATTACAGTGGGGTCTGGTTTTCCCATCTACCCAAACACCAAGAGAAACCAGGGCATCGCTGTATCACATGCACCTGATTCCTCACCCCAAAATGGAGTCAGGACACAGCTAAGAGATGTGCTCGCACCCTAAGACCAGGGAACATTTCCAAGCTGCATGGTTTCGGTGTGCCATTATAAATCAAGGAGCAAATGGTTCATGGAGACTAAATTTTCTCAAAATGTGGCACATTTGAGGAGCAGCAGAGGAAACAAACTGAAACAAAAAATAAAACAAAAATATAGGGGAATTTCAGGGCTCAGCATCCAGATTTGTCACTTGAGCAAACTTACTTAATTTGCATCAAGGAATATTTATTAAATCATTCACTGTTTGAAGTAAGCACTTAGATGTCCAAGAATGTGAAACAAAGCAGAATACTAACAGTCCTACTAACCTTGGAAATGTCAACAGGTTTGCCACGTTTTGCTTGCTCAATCTTTAGGTCAAAGCTCTTGGCTGTTCTGAGATACATCTTAGCCTGTTCAAGGTTATTTTCCTTCTTTGCTTTGACGGCTGCCTTCATGTATTGCTTCTTTCTGTTCTCCAGAAATTCCAGCTGTTCCCTTGCTGAAAAACAGTTGTATAAAAACCCTCACTCATCCGACACTGCCATGCCCCTGAAACAGGTTTATCATGTTCAGTTTATAGCCAGAAAAAGGTCAGTAAAAGTACAGATATCAAACAAGGACATTTCTTCGCTGCACTTAATTGTTTCTTGGCCAATTTCAAGTATCAGAAAAAGAAACAAATTCCTTCTGTCGTGGCATCCTTCATCAAAAAACCTCACAGCACCTCACAAGTGTCACAACAGTAATTACAGCCCCTTATTTGCAGGCAGGAGACAGACTCCAGTACAGCTGACTGGTTGAAGGCAGACGCTGAATTCAAACTTTCAGCTTGACACGTTAACTTCTAAAATACAGTGAACATTGTGCGCATCTTCTGTACTCATTTCCTCCCTTTCCCCTGATGTGTCAGAAAAAAATATAGATGAGCCAGTGTGCTGGCACATTCAGACACATCACCTTTGCTTATTTGTCATTCCTTGCCATCTTAGCTTCTTATTAATTCTGGGGTCTCCTCTTTCCTTTCCAAAACAGCAAAGGACAACCACACAAGTCAGAAAAGATGGGTTTGCCTTGTACGCGGTCAGTGCACCCTGCCTCTTCTTACACCTCACGTAGGAAATGGTACAGCACGAGCTGATGACAGCCATTGCCAAAGACACTCATATGGCATTCACCGCTGCACTCTACTCGTGATCACACAAGCTAAACACCCCTCGCAGGAGGTGCCTGTCTCAGCAAATAAATACGCCAATGACTCTCACACTATGTTCGCTGCTGTCAGATCTGATGTTCAACTTATTCCCGTCCTTGCACAAGAGCCCGCTGTCCTGCTGCCGTGAGCAATTTGCCCAATCAGCCAAAACCAAACTAATTAGACAAGGTAGCTAGCCCAGATTCCACCGAGGCAAAACCCATGGTGTGCTCTGTGAGGCTGAGGCACGAAGCACAGGTATTCTCCGAGAAAATCTGTGGAGAATGGACTGAGCAAAGCCATCAGTCCAAGTGGTCTTGGCTCCTCAACTTCCCTGATATTGGTCTTAAGTGCAACTGCTCCACTCCCACATGCCTTATGCTCTCCAACAAGAAACACACAGGTTTTTTTACAGCTGATATATCAGCTATGGGCAGCTGCAAGCTGCACTTCGTAATTCTGGGGGGAATGAGGTAACATTTGGATCACAGAATGCACTTTGGCTACTGAAATATAGCTTTACAATAGTGAAGTACTGACATTTTGTTGTGAAAATCGCGTCAGTGTGAATCTGTTCAGGTTCTTGTTGCACCTATTGGCCTTATTTTAAAATACTTCAAACACCCAGGAGAGATTACTGTAACACTAGAGACCACGTATTATCAATTCCTTCACAGCATAAATCTAGGGCGATTCACTCAAGAGATCAGCATGTCACCTGAATTTTAAAAAACAAAACTCCTGAAGATTCATAGATTTTCAGAGCCAAAATGGACAACTACTACATTTTAGTGGTCTTTATAACAGAAGCAATGGAATTTTTCGGAGCGAAGAGTTACGAGCTAATCATGGTGGCGCTGAAAAATGCCTTTGCACTCTGCAGAAGCACTTGCATTGGCCAGCTCGGCAGTTCTGCTTTGTCCTGAGGGAACTACCCGGGGCAGAACGGAAGAAGGAGGCTGGGATTACAGTCAAGGCGTGACAGCAGAATCAGTGAGAGCCTGAGCACTGCTGGTGTGTGCCCAAGTCACACCGTGAGGTGGTGGCTGTCCCTTACTATCTGTACAATTAATCTTGTACAGACAACTGTTTAGCGACCTTAGCAACAGGAGGACTAGAGATTGATGAACTCCTGCCAGTCTGAGATCCTTGGATGAAGCGTTAGGCTGAAACCACTGTCTGATGTAGGAAGCTGCATTAGATCAATGAATAATTCACACTGGCAAGTTGTCCACTTTAATGAGAGTATATGTAGAGTTCAACTGTGAGCAGAGTTAAACGTTATGAATCGATACACTTGTTACACCAAAATTCATTAAAATCCCAGCCACCCTGATAATTACACATGCTGCCTCTGCGAACTAAAGCTGGATGGTTGGTCTGGATCTGCCCTCCTGCAGACACCTATATCGAGGCTCCTGTCAGAGGAAAACTATGCCACACATTCACAGGCTCGTAGCTAAAATATAACCAAAAGTAGTCTTTACCAAGGTATTAAACTGCACTAGTGCAAACAACTTGCACGTGGATCACTGAGAATGATGACCCCTTCACCTTACCAGCTGGAGGGAGATGATCCATTGACCCTGCCTTGTCCGGGGTGGCAGGCGATGGAGCTCGTTGCACATGCTCAGGAGAGCTCTCCTCCTCAGCTACAGCAGATGGGACTGTAATTGGCTTAACAGCTTGGGTCGGCTTGCCAGGCAGCTGAGCAGGCTTCTTGGCAACTGGGGCCTGGGTCAGAGGTTCATTCTAGCATAACAAGAGAAATTTCGTATTGAATACATAAAATCTGTTCCAGAGTTGAAGACAGCATCTCAACAACCATGGTTATCACTGTGTCAGCCTTCTGGTATCACTTTTGAGGGGAGCATAACATTCCAGACAGCAAATTTTAACTTCTGGAGGTTCATGAGCCATGCCATGCCATGCCATGCCATGCCATGCCAGCAGGTAGTTGACCTATGCAAGCGTCAAACCTCCACTACAGAAGGAACAAAAGGAATGTTCCACAAGGCAGTGATTTCAAAAAAAGCAGATGCCTGCAGAAAAACCATCATCTGGGAATTCTCTCCATTAAAAGCTACTCCAGTTGAAACACAAACAATCAGCAACCAAATCCAGAGAGAGAAAGAAATCAAAGTCTAAAGGCTGGTGCTGCCTGACAAAAAGCAGCAAGTGCTGAACATCCTGGGAAAGCACAAACATAGGAGCTACTGGGATGCAGGAATAAAAGTACAGATTTAAGTACTTTAGAACAACGAAAAGGGGTGGCCAGGCCCTGAAGTGTTTGCTTTGAAAATCAAACCCACATACAAGACAGTTATGAAAGAGCCAAACTCTGGACTCCTCGACTCTGTAGGTACTGACTGTAATAACATCTCATCTCTCTCTCTCTCTCCCCTACACTATAATGCAAACTGAAATTACTACCAAGATCCTGTACTCTTCAGACTTCTGGGAAATGTATCAAATCTCAGCACCCTTGCTTGACTGGAAATCCAATGGCCTCGTCTCTGCATACAATGAGACAGCATTTTAACTGTTTACACACCCTACTAAGAAATACTAACCTCCTCCTCTTCTTCGTTCTCCTCCATGTCTGCCAGCTTGCTGGCACTCTCCAGAACAGCAGCTATCGTGCTGTCACCATCCGCTGCTGCAACACCAGGAAGAGGGGGAAATCCTGAGGAGGAAAGGAATATAGAAGTAGAGTTGCATAAGACCTATGTTCTGTCTTCCATATGTCTTCTTTTCCGTAAAGCTATTTCTATCCAAGTATCTATTATCTATTATCTGATGTATTTCAGAATTCAGCATAACTACACTGAGGCCAAGGCCACAAAGCCTTGCTAGATAAAGTCTGAGAGATCTGATCTTAAGCCTACCACTCACAGATACACAGGCTTAAAAGGACGATGCTCAAATGATGCAGTAACAGAGCACAGTTTTCTAAGCTGAGCAGCTGGCAGCCAGTCAAGGGACCTCACAACCTCAAGACTCTGGTAACAGAGAAGCCCCCAGAACCAAAGAATTCAGTCTCTCTCCTTTGCACTAAAGGACAGCAGCTTGTACAGAACATTGCCGGCTCTTTTTTCCCCCGTCACTGCTGCCTCACTGTAGTTGGTACACAGTCCAGCAGAAAATCGGTGCTACCCCATAGCGTAATAAACAATACATCACTGACAGAATCTGGGTAAGACACTACGCCTCCGCTGGAAATCTACTGCAATGCAGAGGTGCAAAATACGGCAGAATCATAGTAGTTAAATGTGAAGTAAATGAAGAACAACCCTTTTCATTATTTTATTATCCTTTCAAGGATAGGACGAAGGCTTGATGATGGAAGGTAAACCCTCACCTTCACGCTAGCAGTTCAGTGTCAGCTTCAAACAACAGAGACCCAGAGCCACTAGTATGAAATGCCTGTTAATAAGATCTATCTCATTAATATGTAGCAAGTATTCATGTTGCTAGTCTCATTAGAATTGCCAAGAAATAATGACTAAACTGCTTCTACACCTAGAGATGGCTGCTACGGGGACAGAACAAGTTTGAGGTCCACACGCAGGCAGAACACAGAATCCTCGTGATTCTGTCCCCGCGTGGCATTTGATCCATTACTCAGCAGCATTTCTGTCTCCAAGGAGGTCAAGGCTGGTACTCATCATCATCCAGATGCAATGAAATGCATTGCTGGTCCATTTTAATTTCACTGCTGATATCAGTGACTGCTTGATGGTTGTCTCCAATGTAAATCGTAAGCCCTCTAAATGATGGCTGAAAAACATGCAGCTAACGTGTAAGGAAATTGAGGCGCTATCCGTATTTTCATAGGTGTAAATATGGAGTACCTCAGTCTTACAGGAACTCGTATTTGCCAAGAAACTGATCACATTCGAGAACAAGGGATGCTAAACTGCTTTTGAGGGACAGCTTCAAAGCACTGAACCATCAAAGCAGTCCATGACCTGACAAGAGCTGGCCCTGCCTACTTTACTACTATTACAGTGCTTGCCATTGCCACATTCGATAGTGACAAAAACGCCACAAGGTCCGTGCCCCTTTTCTAACTTAAAAATATCTAGGCACCACTTTGCAGTGCTAGGTGTGTCTTTTCAGAAGAACACATCAGGCTCAAGATAAAAGGAACGATGCTTCCTAGGCTAAAAACAGTATCATGCAAACCAGAAGTGGAACATTCATGGATGACCTTGCCCAAACTTTTACAGACACAGCATTATATGTTCTGATGAAGACAAAAAAGCCACAGAGCGTCTCAAGAAGCAGGTTCAGTCTCTGCTCTGTCTCTCTCTCAGTGTGACCACGAGCATGATTTGCTTTGTCTCTGTAGACTACTTTTACTACCCACTGAAGCTGCAATACTGACTTGTCAGGTGTTGCAAGATGATGATTAATTATATAGAGTTCTGAGGCTCCTGCTGGGATTCAGCAGAATGGGGGACATCAGGCAAATTTTTTCAGCTTCAAAATTCTCCCTCCAGTAAACCAAGAAGCCAATATATCCCAAGTTTACTCCTTCCTCTGGGAGGGCTGGCACGGAGGACAGACAGGTAACATGTTGAGCACCTGCCCGTGGTTAAGTTGTTTAACTTTTCAAATAGCGCCCATTTTAAGTTCCAATGCTGTCCAACAGGCAGCCAATAATCAGCAATATTCACCAGTGTGAAAGGTGGGGAGCATGTTAACAAGCAGTTTCACAATACCATCAACAGCAAGGCCGGCCTGCTCACTGAGAAAAAGGAGGAGTCATTCCATAGGATGAGGGGGCAATATCTGCACACACCCCCTTCAGACCCCAGCAGAAACACAAAAGGTGGTATCAGGACATTCTGTATTCACACTTACCAGGAGGAACAGGTAGCTCAGAAAAATTCACTTTTCTCCCTGCTTTATGGGCTCTTATGGCATCCTGGTATTGCTGTAATGAAAGGCACTCACAGTAAGACACAAAATGAAGTTGACAATAAATTTGCAATCATTCATATTTAACCAGCATAAATATTGCAGAATACACAGTATTTTGCTACAATACGTGCATTGTCGCTATTTCTCCTTCCTCCGAATGCTTTACAGCTTCCCTGCTGGGGACTCTTTTCAAACAGAAGGACAATACACAAATTATTTCAACCTTGAAAAAGTCTTCAGCCAGAGGACCAATTCAGACGACTTTGTTGGATGCAAGCAGCTTGCTACACTTTCATTTTACCTTGGCTATCCTCTCGTGCATCCTGCCTTTCCGATCATCCCCACTTGCTTTAGCCTGTGCTGCTGCCGACTTGTACTTCTCAAGTCTTTGCTGCAACGCGTCCAGCACTGTTTTTGGCTGCTGCAGGGAAGCTTGAAATAAGACAAACAATGAAATGCCATATGTTTCAGATTTCAAAACGTATCAGCTGCCTTCCCCTCCCCCCCCCTTACCTTTTGCAGAAACAAAAACACCATTGCAAAGTCTTATTATGAATACAATTATTGTAAAGAAAATTTATTAACTTATACTTCCATTACTGATTCAGAACAAAAGTACAGCTGGGATCAGCAGCAGGAACATTAGCTAGGTTGACTCAGTCCTGCTGCAGTTCAGTGGGATCAGGCAGAGCTTAAAGTGCCTTCCAGCCATGCTATTTTTATGGCTTGCTGGAGAAATCCAAAAGTCCTACCCGAAGCTTTTTGGGTGTGAGGTTCAGGTGTTGTAAGATCCTGGGAACTTCCCACTGGAGCTGGTACCTTTTGCTTGGATGCATCTTGTAGGTTTCCTAGGCTTTCAAGATCTGAAAAGCAAGGGAAGCAGGAAGCTTCACAGCGTGTTCCATAAATAGCAAGTCAACCCATGTTACTCAGAAAACCATCAATTTGATCACATCATCTTCCTGAAAGCTTTTTGGCTTCAAAACAATATCTGTGTGGCTAAATAAGCCTAAGGTTCCCATTGTTCAGAGAAAATGCTTTATAATAGAAAATCTCAAATGCTGATTTAATTTAGGTTAGTGCTGCCTGAGGGAAAAGGAGGGAAAAAAAAAAAAAAAAGTAAAACCTGTTCAAGTATTCTAAGAATTCTCTCCCCAAAATATAACTTGGTATCTTGGCAGATAGAAAGAGTGAACAAGATTGCTAATTGACTAAAATATCCCAGTAACGAAAGATGTGCTGAAAAAGGGAAGCAAGTAACACCATCCATTCAGACACCCAAGTTTCTGGCATTGCATAACAGTGGTTATTTCAGAAAACAACAAAAATATCCACTGCAAAAATCTTGCAATTAAGGCAAGATTGTATCATGGGTGAAGTTTCTCTCTAATGCCATTTGGTGATCAGTTTATAACTTAAGGAGTCATAAATCTCATGATTTACTGAAATAAAGTAATCTGTCATTTAGTTTCTTAGAATAAAATAATCTGCTAAATTGTTTAAAACAATGAGTTGCACAGACCGTACATTAATTGTTGGTGGCAATACTAGATCTATTAAAAGAAGACTCTCTTACAAGGATCAAAGTATCTTTCATACTGGTAACTTGCTTTAAGATTTAGACTTAACTGCACTGCAGTGTTTGTTAATCTCTTAATCTGAATGTTATGAACTTCAGTTAAACACATAACTTCATCAAGTATTACAGTAAACTTTAAGAATGTGCTATTACCCTTCTCTCCCTTCCACTTCAAATACTGGCTGCTATTATCTAAAGTTATAAAAATAGGAATATTAGACATCAATACCTACTTGAATTTGTAATTTACAGAGAGTAACTTCAGTATAAATAATGTTACCTAATCTTTCTTCGTTGATTAGAATTTGAATATGCAGTAAGCCTCAGACCTAAGTGGTCTCCAATTATTCTTAAGAGTTTTGCAGTCAAATGCAGAAATATTCCGTTATAGCACAGAGAGACTTCTGAAAGGGTTTCTGCAAGATGAGCCTTACCCTGAGGAGACGGAGGCATATTCTGGAGGTCTATCGGCTGCCCACTGTCCAAAGCTTCCAAGACCACATTAAATTTCTAATGCAGAAAAAACAAAACAGCAGATTTATTCTAGTAACGTCCAAGACTTGCTAGCTGCCACAACAAATACTTGACACTCAATGCATGTCGGTATAACATAAGGGATGTTTAGCATTCAGGATTTCTTGTGCGCACACCTTGCCTGTCTTCATGTATTCCTTTGCCTTCTCCAGGTCCCCCTGCTGCTTGGCTTTTAAAGCTGCTAATTTGTACTCCTTCTGCCTCATAAGTAGTATTGCTCGTGTGCTGTTGTTCTGCAGACCTGTCAGAATGAAACAATGCTGAGATTTACACGCAGCATGCAGGATGGGCATCCCTTGCTACGCCCTTCTATTCAAACCTGCATTTGTCCTCTTTTGCTTTCAATCACACAGCCATCTTACAAAAGACCTTTTTCCTCCAGTCTCCAGAAGTCCTACCAGACATAACAATCCCACCTTTCCCAATTGAAGAAAAAAACCAAAGAAAGTATTTTAGTCAATATCTCAAAACTCTTTAAAAGCTTGGAATTCTGTATGTCACAATATTGAAGGAGAAACTGAGGCACAGGAAAAGTTAAGTGAAAGATATTGATACAGTACATACAAGAGCTCTATAAGAATAACTGATTCAACTGCCCGTATTTCAGCATCCCACTGACAATTCTACCTGGAACATTCAGCAGGGAACTTCCAACACAAGCAGTGCTTTTCTACACAGTGCAGACGTCAAGAAAGATGCAGCATTAAAATAGGGTTGCAACCGCTTATCCTCTCAGATCATGGTACCTGTTTCCATGGTAGGACTAGAAGCAGCATGACTCTGTAGAGACTCTGATTCCAGATGCTGCACTGCCTCATGAGAGGTCTTCTGCTCATCATCTGCAGCAGACTCAGCTTTATTCTCTGGTAGGGCACTGCCTGAATCTCCCGAACTCTCTAGCTCCACTCCCATGGGCTGAGACAAGTGAGAAGAACTCTTTCCTGTTGCAACAGGAGGTGGTATTTCTTCCTCATTGATTTTTTTGCCCTTCTTCACTGCAGCCAGCATGGTTTCCAGCATCTGGCAGAGATGGAACAGCAAAGTCAATAGGCATTTTCATCAAACATATTACTAGCATAAAATCATTAAAACACAAATTCATTCCCTTATTCATGATGGGATCTATACATGCCACTATAGATTGCTGCACTTTAGCTCCCTATTTTTCTCCAAGACCAACTTCAGCGCTAGTGAAAGGTGTCCAACTACCAGAGCAACACAGTGCAAAGGACTTGTTACCCAAACTGCATAATTGCAACTACCTCAACAACCAGAATTATTGGATAGCTGATATGGTCCACTCAGCTTTGTCACAGAAAGTCACCAAGGAAGTAATTTATAATAACTGTAGACAGACTATTATGTCGTTAAAACAAAACAAAATACACTACTCTGAAATGCCACTACCCATGTGGATTCAGGGAGAGAAGGAGCCTGCATACCTATTTAATGCAATGACAAAAGCCATCAAATACCAACAAAGGAAATGGAGCTTCAGCTGGCGACCTACGGCACGAAGCTCTCACCATCCGTAACATGGGTTAACTGCTGCTCATTTTTTTAAAATCCTGCCTCCACTACAAATACTACCTTTCTCAGTATTTTTATTGTTTTTTAATTTAAGGTTCAGACAAAAGACCACCACGCACTTTAAGTCAAAACAAAAGTCCTACTTCTTTCATATTCCACAGAAACTGAAATGGAAGCACAGAAAGACAACAACAAAATCTCATCCGTGCCAGAGTCACTGCTATTTTTGGTTAGCCATGACACATGACGTTGTTTGACCTATTAAGCAACAGTGGTAGAGATACTTTGGTCTGACTGCATGTGAGATCGGGGTTCAGACCAGTACAGCACCCCACACACAGCACTCTCTTCTCCACGTGTGGGATCACAGATTGACTGGAAAAGGAATTAAACACTGAGATTAAAGTTTACAGTTCCAAGAACTACGTATGAGAAGTAACTGTACACCATTAGTTGGCATGCCACTATGCTAATTAAGGAACTGTGAGCTGTGAAGGGGTAGCTAGTCTATTATCCTTAGTCACACTGCTTAGGCACAGGGAAACTCTCTACCTTGGAAAAACAAAGGAAGTGGCAAACAGTGCACTAAGCTTCGTTACTGGATGAAATAAGCTGGTTTGCCTACCCCTCTCGCTCTCTGAAAGGTCAGGTGGTTTCGTGCACGTTCCTTTCAGAGCTACCAGGCGGTGGACTCACACAGACTTCTCCTTTCTTGTGCATTGCCTCCCCTGGGTCTGGCCTCGGTTGTTCCCTTTGTACCCTACGACACCCGGCAGCCAACGAGACAGCACATTCTTCCCTCAGTGGACAGTGCTGAGCTATAAAGCTTTGCTCAACAAGACAGAGCCGGCTGCTGGCTGAGGCAACGGAGGAGACCACATGAAAGCAAAGAGAAGAAAAGCCCCCCCCCCTGCCAGTAATCACTAAGCGCTACCAACTGCCAGCACGCCACCTGGCTGAGAAGATGCAAAGCTGAAGAAACCGCTCCTTGCTGCAATTTTTAATTGCCTTAATGAAAAATCCTGTTCTAGCCATTTTCAAGCACAGCCAACACACTCAGGGAAAGGTATCGCCTTCCTTCGTCTCACAGAGCTGAGTGGAAGGTGAGTATCTGAAGGCAGGCAGGTATATGTGCTAGGAAAGCTCCTAAAATTTGCTCTACGGTAACAGTGAACAGCCATCACAGGTCAAATTCAGATCTAGATAGGTGGGTTTAACATCAGCATTTATCACAAACCCTACCCCCAGCTACCACTAGCCACATTCAACAGAAACAAAGCTGACACACAAGTATCAAGAAATGTTTTTAAAGTAACTCGAGGCAGCAAATTCGAATTTCTCTCCCCTTTCAACAAAATCACACATCTGGAAAGACTCTGAACTACACATCAGAGAACTGACTTCACCTCCCCTCCTCCACATGCTCGATGAACCCAACTTACCTTAAGGCCTCTTTCATATCGGCGTATTTTGGCACTCTCACCCGACTCCTTTGCGTTAGAAATTGCTGTCCTATAGTTAGCAATTCTCTTCTCTATTGTCTGTTGCAGCTCACTGGTAACAGCAGGAAGTGAGGTGGTCTCAGAAAAAATAATAAAACAAATCAAGAAAACTTATTTCATCCAATGATACGAGTTTTCCCACAGCACTGAAAAGCAAATACTCCTCTTCTACGCACACTCCCACTAATCAAGAGCGCAAGAATGAAACAGTCTCTAAAACAGAGGAGCACTTGTACTACTCTAACGGTCCCTGGATCCACCTCTGGGCTTTCTCTCAAAGCCGTAATAGAGAAGAATGGGTGGAGACATTTAGAAAACTCACAGTCAGAGGGTAATCAGAGCCATGTGGTTAGGGAGTAGGTGCAGGAGAACAGTAAAGTCTCTCAAACACCGAACAGCAGGTGTGAAGAGGTATTTTGGCACAAATCTTGACTTTTTCTTATTTTTAAAACATGCTAGTTTACTCCCTTCTGGAGTTCTTCAGCCTGGTTTTACTACAACAGCTCTTTTTCCTCCTCCTCCAGCCTGGAATTAGTTCAGTGACAAAAGCGGCCTAAGCAAAGTTACGAGTAGCTATTTACGAACATACCACAGCTACAGAGACCTTTCAGATGGCTACTGATGTAATTATTGCCATTATCTCTATAGAAACACTCTCAAACCCATTTATTAATGGGCCCAAAGCACAAGGGCACTGGAATCTGTAGCACACAACAGAAACGTGGCAGTAACTGACTACAGGATTTGACTGCATGAGTATTGACACGATAAGCTGAGAAAGCTAATGCTACTGAGAAAAATTCCACAAAGATATCAAAGATGCTGAGTTACAACATGTCTCACCATTTCAAAACACTGTTCAATACTCTGAGGGGGAAGACAGGAACTCTGGCAGCCTGAACAGCAGTCTGCATGCCCACGTGTACCATGAGGGATAAGACATGCTTGATTCCAACTGTTTATCTCCTCAATTCTAAGTTAACATTAAAAATCCTCTGAACAAAGCAAAAAATTCACCTATGTCAACACAGTATTGGTTTCCATAGAGAAGACAGCAATTTCTTGGAGGACAAGAAGATCTCTCTAGATCCTTGTTTGTAACCCTGGTATAAGCTACATGACAACAGCAATTCAGCAAAACTGCCAGGAACATGAAGCTCTCCCTACCTGTGGTTGCAGTTCAGGTTGCTCATTTTCTGGTTCAGCTGCAGATGGCTCCACTGCTATCATTTCATCCTCACAGCTTCCCGTTTCACCTTCCACTCCCAGAACTTCTTGCAATTCTGCCTAAAGTAAAAGTGAAAGCCAACAAAAGGCTATTCCTCAAAATTTTCTGTTTTCTCAACAGACACAATAAAATCAAGTCTCAAGCTCCAAAACCTTTGGATGGACCCTGAACCCAAACAGAGAGTCTAAACACCTTATATTCTAGTCTTTTTTTTTTTTTTAATTTTATATTTTTATTTTTAGATGAAACTGGTTCCACACCAGAAATCCAGATATGACTGAAAAGGCACACTGCAGCTCCAGGATCACCACACGAGTTTGTGGTTATGCATGTGAAGCTGGAGAAGCTCAGAGAAGTACTTTCACAAAGATCATTCCAACCCAAATCTGAAATTTCCAAAAAGCATCTATTAACAACGACAGTCAAAAACACTGCTTAACACTCCTTCCCTAAACCCTGCCAACTAGATCACTCCCTGAGATGCCAAAGAATTTCTTAGAAGATATTCTCTTAGGGCAAGCAGTACTCAAAGCAGTAGCAAAATGGTGACAGACATCACTTGAAGGAGAATGTGCCTGGCTGTATTTCACCAGCAGATATAGAATGGGATTCCCGTTCTTCACCCACTTCTCTAAGACCCTCACACATACCAACGTTAGCTAGGACACTCTTTTTCTCTGGTGTGCAGGGGCTGGATCCTGCAAAGCCTTGTATCTAACGGAATGCTTTTGCAGTGTTTTAGCCTCTCACCACAGAGTTAACAGCTAAATGCAGTTCTGTTAAAAAAAAAACAACTAATAACTAAGACATACTAAAACTTTTTGTTAACAAAGTTATGCATACCAACAGGTCTGTATCTTTCTCCAAATCTTCATCATCTGCTTCTTCCTCCTCATCTTCATTCAGGTCCTTCATACACTCTGCAGCCATCTTTTCAATATGATCCATAGGCAGAGGAGCTGTAAAAAGAAACCAGAAGGAGCCACAAACCCTAAGTAAAAGTTATGCAGTCACTGGATATAAATTCTAAACGAGCTGCTACCAGCTGAAAGAAAGCAGTGGTTTCTCCTCTTGTTGCCCCTTATCAGGCAGTGTTGTAGGTAAATGAGAGTATATTCGTGGACAAAGGGCAAAGGCTGGGGAAGTGAACATCCAGAAAAAAGGCAGTACCAGTCTGTCTGAGAGTGACAGTGGAGGCAGACAATAAGACAAGGAAAATGACTGCATCCAATAACCTAGCTCAGAAATTAGATCTTGGGGACAAATAATGTCTGTTTACTAACACAAGAAGCCTGAACAGCAAAATGATAGGCATGGCCACAAAAGAGAAACACACTGTGGCAGGTTTACACAGTAATGACATTTAAGACTGAATAAGAAAGACAAATAAGACTGGATGAAACAACGGCTTCAGAGAAAAATTACAAGAAGTCACCTAAAGCTCCTAGGCTGATGTAAGACACAGGCAAGTACTTTTATGATAATATTTACAAAAAAAACAAGTAACAGAAACGTTGTCATTATGGAAGACCAATTTTCCAAAGAAAAGCTGGAGAATCCTCAGTTAAGATAAAAATCAGTGGTGGCAGAAGAGCAAATGAATATAAACTGTTGATAAATAAATCTGACAAGAAGTTTCTATCCATGAAAGTGAATTAATGGAGCAGCCTCTGTTCCCAGTAGGAATAAACATCTGAACTAGTTTTAAGCATGAAAGGTATTTATGACATGATTGTCCATATCCACAAGGCGTGGACCCAGCACCCCTGTCAGGGCTTTCTATTCCGTGTCTTTTGTCTCACGTCAGTTTACTCTAACAAAATGTAATTCACTCCTGGTGTAGCCCCTGACTGACAGAATAAATTCTGACTCCATATGGAACAGAAGTGGTCCACATCCATCCATCCCTAAGTGCCAATAAACTATTTCTTTCTCCTGGTTCTATCCCTTTTCTTCTCTCCCTCACGTTGAGCTAATCTGAGTCAAAAGTACTCTAATTCCCAAAGACCTGCATGTACGAATTAGACCAAGTTAGCCCAATAGTTAAAGGCATGCGATACTGACACTTGCATTAAGCATCCCTGCACACCTGACAGTAAAACAGGGTCTACACCACGCTTGAGACTCCACCAGCTGATCCATTTTCTGAATCTACAGTCCTGACCGCAAGAACATCTCCCTCTCTCCACCTCATGTTAAACTGGGTACATATTTATCCTTTGAAACTGCTGATGCACGTTAACATCAATTCTAGAGACACACTGAACAACACAAGCCATAAGCCAAACTACCAGCTGTTAACATGACAAGCAAGAAGGCACAGCAAACTATCCATATGTTTGAAGACAGCAAGAGAGGAAGACAAGGAAATCTTTCTCCCTTGACAAACTATTTGTTTTAGACATCAAACTGCAAAGTCACACTTGGCATACAAAAATAGAATGCTCCAAATCAAGGCATCATACTCGTCCTGAGCCCAAGAGCAGCAGCAGCAGAACACTGGCACAGAGATCTAAACAAATCAGAAGAAGTGCTGTTTCTTCTGCCTCTCTAACTACACGTCTGCATTTTTTGCACTGCTGTCTCATGCCCATGAGATTTTCCCTTCTCCAAATCTTTCTTGGTTGCTTTGTCTTGCAATTTCTCTTCGAGTTTCTGGTCTTTACCCTGAAAACTCTACTTAACTCCTCCTTGCCAACCACATCTTCCTTAACTATCAACTTCCTCTATGCACTGTCAAAGGTGAACTTATTTGCACACAAATGCCAGCTGTCCATGTGAATGCCTCTGATACTTCCCTATGCAGACATATGACTGTGACTCACCTGTGTCAGGAAATGCTCAATAAAATAAAGATCTTCAGGACAGAGTTTTACAGCCAGTTTAAATGGATCCAAAACGGATCCCACCCTTCCCCTGCATTTGCTGAATCAGCTGAAAATTAATCCAGGTACAAAGCTGTTTCTGTTTACATAATCTAATTTACCGTATCAGTGCTTCAGTACCTATATCAAACATGTTGCTCATATATTTGACCCTTAGCAAAACTCTGCAACGAGGGTAGCAGGCCATATCCAAAGGCAACAGGCTGTACTTCACAGGTCAGTGTCCCTTACGTGAAGCCCTACTAAAGGGAAAAAACCAACCGAGCCTCCTCGGATGCTTGGTTCAGCTCTTATCCAGCATGGCAAGTCGAGGCTACAATTTCAAACACCCGAGTGGCTGACCAACTGGCATCTATCAGTCACAGACAGCAGAGATCTCTGTACTTAAGACGCTGCAACAGTACGGCTTTTGCTGCCTGCCTCTTCAAGCCAGTCAGAGATCACCTCCCCTCCCCACCATCAGAGCTCTAGAATGTAAGTCCAGGAGTAAATTCTTGCACCTTGTGCTCAGCCAGGAACTGACCACTAGGAAGTATTGTACTGGATCCCTTTTTCCTGTCCCTCTCCAGGCAGAATCGGTTTCTCCCGTGTCCTTACTATACTCTCCTCCTTTCCAGGTGCTGGCCTGCATCCTGTCCCCACCACGCACCATGTCCCCACCACTACACTGTACCAGCTATCGTGAGTCCCCAGTGCCAGCTGTCCAGTTGTTCGTCTTCCACGAGCTTCTAACCTACATGCTCCAAATTCTACCAGGAAAACAGAACAACTGCAACCTACTTTGGAAAATAGTTTTATGAGCTATAACTCCCACCTTTAGAAGGCATAGTAAATGTTAACTTTGCACTGTCTGAAGTTTCATTTCCTTCTTATGAATAAAGAGACTGAAAAAACACATTAAGTGACAGGATCAGGGTCAGAAGGAAGTCAGCACTTGAAAAGCTGACAGCAATTCAAGAGCTCCTGATTCCCAGATTCACACTCAAAACACGATACCAGGTGTTTTAACCATGAATAACCTATGTCCAATGGCAGAAGTTCTGCAACACTGCTTATTAGCACAATTGTGCTTATTAGCTTTAAGGGTTTACTGCAATCCTGAAATCTCAAAAGTGGAAATGATTTAGAATTTAGATACAAACATCTCCTCTGCCTCTCATCAATTACAGTGTCTTGACAGTCACTTTTTCGAAATACTTAAAAATTCCTCATTTCCTTGCTGCTCTGTGCAAAGTCCTTCAAATACTACATGCAAATTACTGCAGAGTTGCAGATAAGACTGTAGTCACACTAACTCTTCTTTCCAGCATCTGCCCACACACCCATAGCAAAGGTAGGTCCCAATCTCCTTCTCCCATCTCAACCGCTTGCTGCCACCCCTCCCTTGAAGCCACAGCAGGGTTCAAATAGGCAGGTAGCAAACCAGACGAAGGAACTGGTTCAGCTGAAAAACTTCTGTTGTTGTGCTAGGTTATTTTTATAGATCAGCTCCCTGAACCAGCTCACCCTGCAGCTCTAAATACGTACATCAGCTTAGAGGTAAAGCATGCTCACTAGAGACTGCCCCTCTCAGCAGCAGCCTTCATTTATAGATTACAGCAAACCTGTAAAATGCTGCATGGCTGCATGCAAACACCACCAGACAAAATAAACAGATGCTTAAAATATTAAGCATAGTAATGATCCATTCCAAGAGACACTCTAACCTCCTGCATAACACAAGCTACAGGATTCTCCCAGTAATTCCACCAGTTCCAGGACTTCCCTCTTACAGGGTATTCAGTTCTGGTTACAGAGTCCAAGTAACTAAAAATTCAATACTCATTCAGTAAATTCAATCTTTAAACAAAAACAGAACAACCACCAAAGAACAAACAACCCACTCTCCACAGAAAACACAACTTCCATTTTGAATTCATCTAGCACCTACTACAACTTTATATCACTGCATATGCCAAATGAACATGTCTTAATTTAGTCATTAAATTGGCTAGCCATCATCTATCTTTTTCCTACGTCTACAAGAGTATAGACAAAAAAACCTCTTACTCTTTTCATTGAGTAACAACTTAAACCTTTCAAAGTACTGCAAAGAGTAATTTCATCTTCTATCAGTGATGAAAAAACATTTTAGATAAATCAGTGATTTGTAAATAGGTATCTCTAATAAATTAGTCAGGCTGTCAATAAGTAAAATCCAGATATTTTAACTTACTTTTCCCTTTTGGTTTTGACTTCCCTTCTTTCACTTTTGCTCCTGTGATAGCAGCAAGCTCTGCTTCTAGGTCCCCATCATCCCCACCTTCCTCTGCACTCAGCAGCATCTCTTCAGGATTGAAATCTACAAACAGCCCCAGCTGCAACCAAGGGGAAATAAAAAAAATACTGCAGTTAGGACAGAGATGACACTCAAAAACATCACACTGAATGGATTACTTAAACATTTTCATGCATTCTGGATTGTTCATTTTTTTTAAAGCCCACTATAATACCACTTTTACTACCAAAACAATGCACGCCAGGCACCCATAACTGATGTAAGGGATATAAATCTTAATAAGTCACAAATATAAAACTCTACATAATCAACAATTTCTTAAAATCCAGCCTATCTAATAGTCTGACATAACCATAACAAGGTAAAATAAAATGATGTCTGTTACATTGAGCCTCATGACGCAGATATTATCAGGGAAGTTCAGGGCAGCTCCTGTAACAGCTAAGCTAAAAAATATTCAACCATAATTCACACAATACAGGTATGACATGAGTACACGGTAGAGACTTCACCCTTATCTCTTGGAAGAAGCTATATTTACATATACAGAACTGTTCCATACTTCTCGTTATATCAGTTTGTAAATCATAAACACGTGGAAAGCCTATGCACACCCCCAGAGAAACATCACCATTACGAACCCAGCAATGCCAACACTGCTCTGGAGAAAACAATCAGCGCTCTGGAACAGATCATCAGCTGAGCGACAGCATCTCGGGCAAGATTATTAATAACAGTACCCAGAATTTGACAAAGCAGTGGGGGCTACCACTCAATTGTTAAAAAACGTGCCAAAGGACATAAGTATCAGAGAAATCCTGAGGTCTTAGTCTAAAAGGTATTCTTCTAAGATGCCATTTTATCACAACTTTTATATCTCTGGTTAAGGTACTAACTGCCCCAGAAATAACAACATTTTCGCTCAAAGTATGCTAAGCTTTCTTAAAATCTTGAATTAACGGAATCAGGTTCATCCTATGAGGTAGTGGAACAGTTTTCCTCAGACTTTTTCAAAGCACAAGCCCCTGATGGCTCACTGGTCTTCACATGGCCATTTAGGCAGCAGTACAGCTTCCTTCAAGCAGAGCAATAAAAATCAGTTCTCGTTATCACACAGGTTAACCATCTCCTCCTGCCTTGGAGGATTTGAAGCGGTGCCAGAAGCTGAAGCCGCCTGCCAGTTTACAAACTAGTGTGAATCAGTAATGACTTTTTTTAACCCCATAGGAACTCATGTGCTGATGGCTATTGCCTTGAAATATTTTGTGGCTGTCTGATCCCTTTTATAATCCCAAAGAATGTGAAACATAGATGAGAAACACCAACTCTAAGGACCAGGATTCAAAATCAGCAGCTATTTACTAGCCCTGATCCTGCCTTTGACGTTCGGTCAAGCACTGGGCAGATCACTTCATCGCGCTCTGCCTTATCCATCTCCCTTCCATGAAGAAAAACTAATACATTTGCAGACTTGGACAGAATGGAAGGAAGGTCAGGACAAGATTTAATTGGGAAATATTTATAATGGTCATCTAAATATTAAAGTTCTATGGAACATACATACACCTTTCATTGATGTGCAAAATGGAACAGGAGCGCATGTGATCTGTTCATTCCTACACTGCAAGTGCAGAAAGCAAAGCAAGTCTACACTTGAATGAAGTCAAAAACAGAATCCAGCAGTTCTAGCTCTAAGTATCTCAACCTGTTCAGTAAGGTACGTTTCCAGTGAAATTAGTAGTATGACACAAATGTTTAATAAAACAGAAAAAAAAGGTTATAAAAACCTTGCAGTTGATAAACTATATAGCACAAGAACAATTTAAATTGCGTTAACTTGCAAGTGAACAAGCCATTAGTGTATTTGTTTCAAGAAACAATCCTCCATGCTGTAAGACAGGCTGAACAACTAACTGTAGTGAATTAGAAATTTGTAAAATATATTAATCAGATCCTTTATTTACTCTTTATCTTTTTGGAGTGTGGCTTCTTTTTTTGGAAGGAGGAAAGATATTTTCATCTTTTACCTTCTCCCTTGTTCAAATCAACTAAATTATATACTACCTGTCCAACGGAGAAATGCAAACTTTCATATTAGAGCAACGGCAGCATTACAGATCTCTGCCTAAAACCATTCTGCCTCCTGTACGAGAATACTAGTTCCTAAGAAACTGCCAAAAAAAGAGCATCTTATCTTAGCTATCTTCTCTTTTCCAATATCCTATTCCAATCTCTTTTCACATTTCCCTATATTCTTATCAGTTATTCCTCCTTGGTATGTTTTTTGCTTCTATTCTACCTTGAAAGGTTTTCGAAGTTCCATTCTGGTTCTGACATAGTCTTTACCTCTAACTTTACTCCCGTTTTCTTCCGCTATTCTGCCCAGAATTTTGTCTTGGCTGTATTTCCAATTTTGACACTGTTGCATGGCTTCCTACACTTGCCAACCACGACTAAATCACTTTTCTCTCCTCCAGGCGTCTGAAACTACATCCAAAGGTAAAGAGTACGAAAAAAACCCCAAACACAGGGACATGTCTAAGCTCCCTTTCAGCTACAGGAGAGGGACATAAGGTTATCAGTCTCTCTGTTGCAAGAAAAAAAGACCACACACAGGGAAATTAAAATTAACTGTCTCTGGTGCAGCACCTTAATGTTCTCCCATATGTGCCCCTGAATTTCTTCTTTGATATTCTGGTCTTCTTATTTGTTTTCATCGAGGTGCAAGAAAAACCTCCACATAGTTATCAAAGTTATTATTCAATCTCAGTGTAGCTGGGGTAAGAAACTACTATAAGCATGAGTCATGAGGTCTCCTGCAAAGATTACAGCATTGCAAGAGCGTGCCTTCCCTGCAAGACCTCCACCGCTGCCTATCAGATATTTACTTTGAGAAGAATGCGCTAAAGGAGAACGCAGGAAAACAGGCACTACAGGCATTTAAAAATTTTAATTTTTTCGTGGTCCTGCAATACCTTACTAACACAGGGGAGAGTCGAGCGTGGGAACAGCAGCAGGAGTTCTGAGCCAGCCTACCCCGCGGAGCAGGAGGAGGTTTCCCTGCCTGCTTGGCATCCACATCGCCCTGGCCCTCTGCCTTCCTTACCTGCTTTGCAACTGCAGCTCCCTGGCCCTTCGCCTGAGGGCTTTTCTTGGCTCTCCTGCCCAGCATCCCGGTGCGCGGCTTCCAGCGGACTGTGGCTCCGAGGGACTGCCAGCACAGAAAACCGAACGTCAGAGCCCTCGG